CAGAACAGAGCTCATTTACATATATACACACATTTACATATAAGTCTTAAAAACACAAACACAGCTCATTGGACTAAAGGATAAAGAGGTGTTGGAAAATGATTACGCTGAAACAAATTGACTTATTGTATTACATAATTAATTATCATACAGTATTATATAGTTAATTTATATAAATTGTATATAAACTGTGCGTAGATGGGTCTTTTAACATACTCAGTCCTGACGCTACACATCACACTATAGGAAAAGGAAGCTCATCCCTACCAGGAACGACATGAGGTCCTTCGGTTTGCAGTGAAGCTGCACCGGAGCACATTTATCCGTCTCAGTCGGCGCCGCTGGGAAGACAGAGCAAATGTCAACTTCTGAAAACGGCACTGCAGGAAATCAAAGGCAGCACGAGCCTCTGGATCCAGAGTGAAATCTCAGCTCCACCTGAGCTTTTAGATTACAGCAGGTTTTCACTTACCTGCCTTTGTGGCTCCGGTTTCAGTGCATGTTCAACCAGGGAGGGGGGGCTGCTCTGCTCTATTAAAGCTCTGAACAGAGAGGGGGGGTGGAGAAGGGGAGAGGGTTTATTGTCCTCTAAGGAAACAAGAAGATCTATCTAGCTATCTACATTTATATACACACACACACATTTATACACATTTATATTTCAATTTCTATTACAATTCTGACTGTATGTCTCTCAAGAACAGCTCATTTCACATCAAACTACTCTAAATGACTTTGTTTACATCTTAACCATCTGATTAAGCAGAAATTTGCAAAAATCAGTGGAATTCCCCTGTAAGTATCAAACATTTAAAGTTTTATACCTTCCCTTTAGCTGTCTGCTGTAGGACCTTCTCCATGTTCATAAATAATGAATAATGTAACTTAAATGATGCCAATTCAATTATTGAGAGAAGTGAAAAAAAGACATGAATGATAAATTAAAAGTTCCTAAAACAATATGTTCATGCAGATTTCTAGCAAAAATGACGGTGCTTAAGAACATTTATTTCCAAACGACGTTTTTTTTTCCTGCAGGCAATATAAAAACATTAAGTGATGCTGAGAATTTGAGAGTGACCTGTGTTATTAAACCTATCTCTCGTATTATTATTATAATCTGTCCTCTTTTCACTCAGGGAGTACCAAAACATTAAAGGGGAATTCCATTGATTTATCAGAATTTCTGTATAATTCAGTGGTTAAGGTGTAAAAAAGGAATTCAGAGTGGTTTGATGTGAAATGGTTTACTGTATGAAAAGGATTCTCACACAGATTCTGATAGGAACCAGGGGTCGCGATGTCTACAATGCAAATATAGGCATTTTATTTACTATCCAAACCCACCTGTGAAGTTTTTGTATGTAATGATGGTAAAATAGTGGCAAAGCTGGAAAAAAGGTTTCTTTGGGAACTATTTACTGACACCCCGTGTAATGAATAGACAAGAAAATGCATTTTAGGCCAAAATCTGATCTGAAAAGTATGATAAAACACTGCCTCAGGCATCAGGCAGCAGATTCATAACCATCAGGCATCAGGCAGCAGATTCATAACCATCAGGCATCAGGCAGCAGATTCATAACCATTTCCACACTATAACTTCCTGTGAGGGAACTCATGGACACAGCAAACGCTGCAGACGTCTGGTTCCCATCACCACCGCAGTGAACAATTCTGACTCTGTAAATTTCGCAAGAATGAAGCATCTGACATCAAACTACTCTGAATGACTTTGTTTACATCTTAGAAATCTCATTTTACAGAAATTTGGACAAATCTGTGGAATTCCACTTTAAATATCAAAACTTTAAAGTAAACGTTTCCAGTTCTTTTATCACCACAGAGCTTTGGACTGAAACAGGAAACCACAGCATTCACTCCTTATTTTACAGCTGACCTGACCCACAGCCTAACTGACCTCAGCGGGACCCTGAATAAGCCAGCAGCTCCAGCTCATCTGTTCCCTTTACAGTAACAAACACTTAGCGGGGTTACCGAGTAATCAGGTGAGTCTAATTAAACTCAGCCCCGGATTAATGAGAGCCATGCTCGCCGCTGTGTGTCCTTTAGACTGAAGTCCTGGTTTAGGCTGCTTAACAACCTTCACAGGTACAGAAAGTGAGATACACTGAGACCCCAGTATCAGGACTGAGGTGACCAAATCACAGCACTGCCGGTGTAACTGAGCGTAAAACAGTCTGATTTTGTTTACCTTTAACTTTACCAGGCGATGCTCAGCGCGCGCTGTCTGGGCTGGGAGCTTTCATCAACCTTCTCGGTTCTTTTCTACTTATTTAAAAATCCGGCTGGGCTTCCGGTCACCTCCATCTGAGCTCTGTGGGTTCGGTCCGGTCTTCACCTTTGCTGAGCACCGCGCATCAGCGGGTCTGGACGCCAACAGATTTTCTCGCTTTGCTCAGCTGATCGCACACAACTAGGGGTCAAACAAAATAAAAGTCCTCGATGTGCAGCGCTGCTGACCACTCTAACTTTAACCGACACGAACTCAGTCCGTCTTTAGGCCTCAACAGAGCGGTGCGCGATGTCGTAAAACAGAGCTGTGATCTCAATTCTTCACTTTAATTCGTTTTTATTTTTAAATCGACGGGACTTTTATCAAACCCGTCACGCCCGCGTCCGTTTTTGATGGCGTATTGAAGCCTCGCGCTCTATTGTTGTTCGGTGACAGCGCCGCGCGCCGCGAGCAGAGAAACCCCAAACACAAAGACACGGATTAAAACAGCGCCTTTGTACAGGTGAGCGCCGATTCACACCCTTCCTACCTGCTCTGCTCCTGCTCGGGTGCGGTTCCGGAGTTCTGCCTGCGGAGCTCAGCGTGTTTGATGTGCTGTAAACTCACCGCGCTCGCGCAGCGCCGGCGCGCCGCTGAATTCTCGAGCTGTGATAATAATGATAATAATAATAATAATAAACGGTCTGAAGCTCCTTAAATAAACAGCTGTAAACTGACATCAGCTCTGTCTTCGCGCCGAGGCTGGGTGATGCGATCCCAGTGAGAGTGTTCAGCGCGCGGCTGAGTGTATAACGCTTTATTATGCACGTATAACCGTGTCGGAATGGTTATATCACATGTATGTGTGTCTCTGTACTACACAGGTCTGAAGTGGAGTCAGGTGTTGGGTTAAGCACACAGGTGTGTCCTCTAATATAGATGTGTGAGGGCTCTGCCCAGTTCAGCCCCACAGCAGCCTGGATTATAATCCCTGTTAGACGTCGGATTTGCGTTTAATCCTGTGTTTTATCGGATGAGTTTCCGTGGTGGTTTTGATGAATCAAGGTTTCCACGTGATCCAGTAACCATACATCATTATTGCTGAAAGTGGAGCAGGCTGGGTTTGGTTACGTCACAGTGATCACCGGTGAGTTCATGTCCTGAATGCAAATCGCAGTAATTTCCACATTTAAAAATCACTGCATTTGTACTGATTTACTCAGTCACGTCTTCCATCCTGAGACTGATGCTCACCGGCTTGTTTCCAGTTTCCCAACTCACTCCTGAAGTGATGATGAGAGGAAGAGAAAGAGAAAGAATGAAGATCAGAGATGTGAAAACATTACTTTCATAATCACACATTACACTTAATTCCTAAACCAAATGAAGATGATTGTTAGTAGAGAAATTCCAAGAAGTAACCCAGTTCAAGAATATGCTGAAATCAAAAATCAGCCTGAAAACGTCTGGAAAATTTTCCATTATTAATCACTGCTGACCCAGAAGGATAAGCAGTTTAGATGATGTGTGTGTGTGTGTGTGTGTGTGTGTGTGTGTGTGTGTGTGTGTGTGTAATTACTGCTGGTGATTTTTTTAAATTTTGTTGTTGCTTTGTTGTGATCATGTTGTGATTGTGATAAGACTCAGACTCTATCAGAGAAAGCAGTTATGAACCCTCGATTTGTTAAAACGCCTGAAGAGAAACACAGACAGGATTCCTCTGCCTGTCGTAGCCTTCTGTGATATCAGCGTTGCGAAGGCCAAATACAGCGCTGATCATTTTAGAACTACACACTGCGCCGCTCCACCACACCTGGTCATTGGGCTTAGTGAAGGTGTAACGAAACCCTCAGACCACAGTTTGATTACAGTCACCACACTGGCTTCACAACTGGAACAGAAGAATGAAGACTGCTTTACTGCACAGCTTCCTAATGAGGGTGGAGTGAGGGTGGAGCATGACCTGAACCTGCTGGACTGGGTTTTGATTGGTGCTGGTTTGGGTTTGTGTTGAAGCGATGCGGCTGCGTTCGATGCTGTAATTAATAGAGTGGATGTTCTCTGAGACGCACTTTGTCGCAGGTTTGTGTTTCAGTATCTTCACTACCTCTGTCTGTCTGTTTATCCTCTCTCTCTCTCTCCCGACCCCCCACCCCCCACCCCCCACCCCAATAGCAGTCCTGAGTCTGCTGACTGATCAGTGTGTAATGTTGGGCTAATTGGAAACACAGCGTTAAGAATCAGTCTCAGGCCAGAGGAGCTGTGCTGTGACTCTTTAGGGACAGAGGGCCTCGTTCTGCAGTGTCTTCCTGAGTTTTTCTTAAATGTGTTGTTGATAAAAAGTCTTAAAGACAGAACTGTTCTGTCCTTTGTGCTCTTGAGTGTGTGTAGGTTCTGCTCTTACCTAAGAACAAACCCCACATAAGGGAACAGTGGTGAGTCAGAGTCTTCATGAAAGCTGCACGTTGGTTTAAAGGAGAACGGTTGGTGAATGAAGCCCAGTGATTTCAGTTTAATCTGCACTGCTGATCAAAGGAAGACGGAGCGCGAATGTGAGGTGAAGGTGTGGGATGTTTGTAGAGGTAATGCAGATATTATGCAGTTTTGTCCAGTAATATTGCTGTTTTTAGGTTCAAGGTTTTCAAGACATAATTCCTGTTTGAAGTTTGCTTCGTTAGTTCTGTACAGAAGCTACGGCGCTAATGTAGCTAACAAGGAATGGAAGGCTATACTGGACCAATTAGCACTGCAGCCTGAATCATCG